GAAAGATTGATGGGTTACCTCTCCTATGTGCCCGGAGCTGAAGGGTGTGGAGGGGGGGGGGGTGGTATTTGCTCTGAATGGGAATGGAACCTGCCACATTTCACTTTGCAGGACAAAGCCCAACCCACTGAGCTGCACTACTCAGGGCAGCTTTTGAGAACTTTAAAGGGAATGTTTAAAACTATAAATATCCTCTTCCACATTCAGATATAGATAAGAGTTAACGGGCCAATTTTAAATAATTAACTGTACTCCATTATATTATCTTTAGGGGGGCAAAGTTTTTCAGGGTCCTTTTAAGATTCTTGAAAATCTCAGAATCTGGAACCGGCCTGACTTTATTGTGGCGCTAAGGGCCCTCACCGAGCAATGGTCTTCCCTTTAAAGATCAAGTGAAGTAATGCATATAAAGTACAAAGCCATCTGCAAATGACTATTAAATAGACATTTAATGCTACAAAGGCAAATTAGGTGTAATGACTGGTAGGTTGACTTTAGTGCGGTGAGGGGGGTGTATAGGTGGAGGCGGCAGGCCGAGGTGGGGCTTGGGGTCCTGAGCTCGCGTTTTCCTTTGGGCCCATAGGAGGTCTTGTGCACCTCGACCGAGTCAACGTTCCGGGGGCGAGGGGGCTTCTCAGCGAGACGCTGGTGGTGCTGGGAAGCCGTGGGGCTGCTGTGGCGGGGACAGAGGTGCAACTCTTCAGAAGCAAGGTCCTGGATCTGTGGTCCCAGCCCGGGGGGCAGGGGGAGCTCTCGTCCCTCGGTGCACGTGAGGCATGTGTCCTGAGCCCTGCTCCCGTTCCTCGCTAGGTTGCCCCGCCCGTCCGGCATCCCGCCGCAGCCCAAAGAGCCCTGTGAGCTGCAGCTGTGAAGCACGGTGAGCGCGCGAAAGCTCAGATCTCCAACCCTCGGGGTGGTCCTGTGTTCCCGCCGCCATGAAGTCCAAGTCAGAACATTGCAGCAGCATCCCTCGGTCGCGGACGCAGCGCCTCAGCTTCTCAGTCTAACCAGTTTCATCATCTCAACTCCCTGCAAGAAAGCACCTGAAAGGAAAGAGCGGAAATTGTTCTTCCTTCCAAGGCTGATGTTTTTAGTTCTGAGTCTGAATATAACCCGATTTAGCTATGCTTTAAATCTGAAATGCAGACATTCTCCGAAGAGTCCACTAAGATTCTCCTTTCCTAGCCGGCAGAGTGGATGCCTGGCTCCATCGTGCTTGTCGGACGCTTCTTTCTGCCCACTCCAGAAGGTCGTGGAGCTGAGATCCCACCGGACTATTCCTGGTGATTTACCTCTACTAATTCTAACCAGAGAAAGAAGCCAACAAACTACTAAAATAAGAGGCCCATTCCCTCCACTCAGGGTCAAATTTAATACTTGTGTTGCTTGTTTCCCTTATACCGTATTAATGGAATGAGGCCAAGAGAGAACATGCTTTGATTTTTATGTATGAAATGGGAATAGAGCTATTCACTACTGCAAAATAGTTTGCACAACTTAGAGTTACATAAATTAGTGGTTAAACTCTTATTAGAGAAGTCACCCAAACAATTGCTGAAATGAGGTAACATCAAATTTAAAACAAACATTTCATTCAATTGCAGGTAAACCTTCAAAATCAAAAATAAATGAAACCAAAAATCCTCTCCCAGAAGCTTTCATTACCTCCTAACTTAAAATAATTTTTAAAAAGTGATCTTAAAATTACAAAGTAATCTCAATACACACTGGCGAGAGCCATTTCCTGACCAGATGTTGATGCAGTTCTCCATCTGAGTATAGTCTTTAAATCCACTCATCAGTTTTCACTAGCAGTAAAAGGCTATTTATTTTCTTAATAAAATCTCTCCTTATTCCCTGTCTCATTGGGTTTGAGCATAGCAAGTAGCAATATTAAAAAACGGAACCAAACTAGTTAAAGTACTGGGTTTTATCCATGTTAGTGTTGTGTTAAACAGTTTGGCAATATCATTCATGCTTTGAACTGTATCTGAAATTTGTATTGCCACCATATAATTCATCATTTTATGCACAAATTCGTATCTAAATAACACAATCTTTGGGTCTTCGTGTGGTTATTGTCCACAAATTTAAGAGTCTTTCTAAATCATCAGCATTCAATGCAGCAATGCAGCAAATGTTTGGAAGGTGCTTGCATTTAGTGAACAGAATTGAGCCTGATTTGCTTTAAATTAAAAGTAAACAGTCGCTAGCAGAATGAGTTTGAACACATCAGTTGTTAAAGTCTGATTGACTACTTGTTCTAAGCAAAGCCTTAAGTAGAAGACAACTGGATTACATCCCACCCTTCCATATACAAAACACCCTTCCTGTTTACATCAACACTGCACGCTCACACACACAATACTTCAACTTACATCCCAACACAGATTACAGAAAGGTACCTGAAATCCCTGCTGGCCTTCTCCGCAATTTTGATTCTGGATTTTGGTTCCTGTGTCTCAATTAGAAAAGATAAACTAGATTGTCGTAAAACCCCAAAACATTTAGGAAAATGTCCCATCTGCAGTTAGCATTTCTGAAAACGAGTTTGGCTGTGGCCTCTGCTACACTTGGAGGGGGCTTTGTTTCACTCGAACCATGTGCCAACTCTCCTTCCTGGTTGTGAAGACACTTCTCCTTTCTAGTTAACGAATTTCACCTAGCCTGGCTATTTGTGTTTTACAAAAGATCGGCAAAGCACTGATTGCAAAGGAAAAAGAAGGTGGTGTTTTGTGTTAATCAGAATGTGGAATTCTGTACTAAAAACATTTTTTAATTTTCATGTTTCAAGAATCAAACCTTATTCTAATTTTAGGATGTGCACACAAACAGTTTTTGGGTGTAAAATGTTCATACCTCTGGCAGCAACTATTTCTGGCTTCGGTCTTTTACTGCTTAAAAAAATGCTGAAAGGAAAAAGATATGTCTGTACCAAATATACTTTCAGAAAATACTGTATAAAGAGGCTCTTTATTCTTAATGATCCTTTAGGTACCAAGTTCACTTAGTTTAAGGGATTATTTTTTCCAGAAATAAATTATAAAGTAAAAAACTGTCCATGAATATTTTTTTAAAAATATGTTACTTGGAGCCCTTAGTCCATAAACTGTTATTGTTCTTAAGTGTTGGGTCGATTATATATCTACATATATAGATTTCTCTCTCTTTATATATATATCAAGCCATGTGGACTTTTGGAACATGTTTTCTAGAAGTAAAATTTTTTAATTCTGGTACTACTTACTATGAGAGAATCAAATCAATAAAAACAGCATTTTGAAATTTGGTACATCAGTAATAGTTATGCTTGCTTGTTTAACATTTTGAAAGTCAATTCCATCAATACGCAAAAACCCAAATTGGGATGATTTTGTGTGTGTGTATTGCACCATTTCATACTACTTTTTTGTTCAAATTATTTTTATGTAAAATGTTTTAAAAATGAGTTCTTATTTTCCAAAAATGCATTCACAGCCCCTTGATAAAGGCTGATTCCCTTGCTGTGGTAGTGTTTGTTTGTTTGTTTGTTTCTCTGTGAAAGTGCCTGGAATTTATTATTACTTACTATGTAAAATATAGTTAAGAGAAAATGCAAGTTTAACTTCTAAAACACCTTTCTAAGGATTCACTTTGCACATTTAGAAACAAATCCAAAGAATGAAGTGAAATAAAATGTTTCAACTTTAAACTCTAATTTTTCACATGTAGAAGAGGGTTAGGGTCTCTGGTAACTGTTTTGATCATTTATAAATCATGCTTTATCCATATTATGTCTTTAATTTTCATTAATTTTTATAACTGCATGTATTTTTTAGCTTTCTTTTAGTATTTTTACCCCAACACCAGTTATTTCAATTATAGGTAAACTGAGCCTTGTTGTCAATTGTGCCAACTATTATAAATAACAAAACAAAACAATACCTATATAATTTAGTGAAAAAGAAATGGCCACTTGACTTTGACAAAAAAGTACTTAAGTTTCTTTTGTTATATTTAAATATCCATTTGAAACATAGGAAATATAAATTGGCATGTTAAAGAGTAAATATGTTATTTTTACAATAAAACAACAAAAACAGTGTGCCACCCCTCTTAAGTTCTATGATGGAAAAATTATAAAAATTTTTGTTACTTACTCTCTACATCCTGACTACAATTCAATAAATCACCTATTCTCTTCCTTCTTGACATACTTTGAAATATAGGTTAATTGACATCAATTTTAGCAATTTTGCTTGAATGTTCTAGTATATTATTAAGGTATTCAAAATCAGACAAGCAAATACCTTAGAGAGAGTAAATGACATGTCTACACAGAAATGGCTGTATTTATTTTATCGGTTGATTTTGGGAGACCAGATTCCATATAAAAGTAGTTTACAACCTTTCTTTTTCATGATGTATTGCATGGTGGAGTGGTCCTCTTTTACGGTAATATACACTCATTTGCTAAATAATGATCAAAACATAAACGTAAAAAGCTCTATCAACCCATATAAGCAGTATCTTGATTATTTTTATTCCATTTCTCTATTACCTAAATGGCAATAATTCCTCTGCAATAAATGGTGCTATGTGCATGATCCACCAATTTACTTTCAATCAACCATCAATGAAATTGCACTTCGGGGGCGGGGAGGATGCTCTTCGAAAATGAATCTCTCAAGGTAAATTCCGATTCATTGTTAAAGCTGGGTTGATTTTTAGAGCTACAAACACCAATAAAGTTTCCAACATGTAAAACTCTGAGAGCTTTGGTTAGGAACATGATGAATGTAGACTCAGCCAGCTTTTCTCAAAATTTGGAACTTCTAGGAGGAAATCACCACTTCAAAACCTTTTGGTATGTTACACTATTTGGTCCTGGGGCTGTTACTATCTCCTGCCCCCAACAAAGAGGTTCAGAGCTTGCCCCTCTCCGTGGCCCGTTTGTTCGTTTTGATAGCCGCATACACCAAGTCAGTTTGGATACGTTTCCTCTATCCATTCTCGCAGGTTTTTTGCAAACTCTTCAGGTCTCAGGCAGGACCCCGCACCAGGGCACCTGCGCGGTCACCACGTCCTGCCATAGAGCAGGTTGGCGCCGAGCACTCCGCCGCCGTAGTCCCCCGCGGCCGCGTCCAGGGCCGCCAGCCCACTTCCCGGGCCGTGCAGCGCCGGCGGGCTGGGCGACAGCTCCTCCAGTTCGGGTGCGGACGTCGGGGCCGGTGGCTGCGGGCCGGCCTGGCCGGGCGTCGGCGTGCCGGCGCCGTTCTGGCACGGCTTGCCATCCTTGACCAGCACTGGCACGGCCACGCGCCGCGGGGAAGGCGGCGGCGGCGGCGGCGGCGGGGCCAGGCCGCTCTCCGGCTGCAGCTGCTGCGCTGCCTTGTCTTTGGCCTGCCGCTTCATTTTGTAGCGGTGGTTCTGGAACCATATCTTGACCTGAGTAGGCGTCAGGTGGATCATGCTAGCCAAGTGCTCGCGCTCGGGCGCCGACAGGTACTTCTGCTGCTTGAAGCGTCGCTCCAGCTCATAGACCTGCGCTTGCGAGAAGAGCACGCGGCGCTTCCTGCGCGGTGCTGCCGCCGCTGCGTGCAAGGGCGCCAAGGACTTCGCGGCGTCTGCGATGCCCGTCAGCGACCCCATGCCGGCCACGTTCACGCCCGCGGATGGCCCCATGAACCTGGAAACTGGGGAGGGCCGAATGGGGAAGCCTGGTGAGCGCGAGGCCTGCTTCCCACCGCGGCGATCGCGACGCCGGTGGGACCTAGCCTGGGTTCCAGCACCCCTCGCCCGCCCCCAGCCGTGTCCCGGGATATCCCGCGCGCCCCGGGCCGGAGCCCCACGCGCGCCTGGACACAGGCACCCCCGCGCCCCGCCCTGTGGCAGAAAGAGCCCGCGCCGTCCGCCTGCCCTCGGTCCCGCGCTCCTGGCCCCGCTCACTTGACGAGTAGCGCGGGTCCGGATTGGCTCCGTACCAGCCGGTGGCCGCGGCGGCCGCGCCGCCCCGCATGCTGTCGGGGTAGGCGGGCAGCTCGCCCATGTTGCCCAGGCCGCCGTTGCAATAGCCTCCCATGGCGCCGGGCGGGAACTGCGAGACGCCTGGGGACATGTGGTAGGTGGCTGCCGCTGCCGCCGCCGCCGCTGCCGCGGCCGCCGCGGCCGCCGCGTTGTGCCCAGCCAGGCTGTGGGGCTGCACCCCCGCCACGGCCGCCCCCTGCGAGGAGGTCCCGGGCGGCGCGCGATAGGCAGCGGCCGCCGCGGCCCCCAGGGGCGCCCCCAAGCCGGGGGGCGCGCCGTCCATGGTGCCGCTGAACTTCTTGTAGGTCTCCTCGATGGGGCTCAGGATGTCGGACACTGAGAAGGGCGTCGTGTGCTTGGGGCTCAACGACATGGCTCACCGGGCCGCCGGGGAGGGGGGCCCGGGAAGGGCGCGGGCGGGATGCGGCGGCCACTTGTCGCCGCCACCTCAGCCGCGCCGCAGCGCCTGCGAGGAGGAGTCGGAGGCGCTGCGAGCCCCGAGAGCTGCGGATCTGGGGTTTATTTCAGTCCCGCGCCAGGTTTACGACAGACTCGGGGGGCGGAGCAACATCCCAAACGAGCAAACAATGGTCATTGGCATTTTTTTCTCTCGCACCCCCCTCTCCACAACGGAGGCAAAAATGGTAAAGGAGACAGTTGTGTGTTTCTTGACAAGATCACCCCTCTTTGCAGACTCCATGCTCCCTCCTCTGCCCCCGGCAGCCACCCCAGCCCTCAAGCACCAGAATTAGAAACTCCGAGGCCGGCGTCTAGGCTTGACGAGAAGGGCTGAGAGCTTTTCCGTTCCAGACTCCTATTTTTCCCAAAGTGACTTCGTAGCAAAATCCAATATAATTGTGGGTGGGAAATGTGGTGTTGGGGTGGGGGGCGTGCAGGGCTCGCTTCGTCGTCTCCAGCTACCCGCCCCTCACTCGTTCAAACATCTAAAGTGTTTAAAAAAAAAAAAACACAAAACCTCTTGGGTCCAACCCTAAGAGCGTATAAAGAGAAGAGGTACAATGACCGTTCTTTGCCATTGTACGTCTCCTAATTTATGCATCTTTAGACTCTTAAGCATCATTTTGTGGGCAACCAAACGAGCACTTCTAAATTAGCTCAAAGTATCCAAATCTAAAGAAGAGAGAAGAAAGCACAGAGACACAAATACACAAATGCTGACTTGTAAGTATTCTGTTTTTACTTTGTGGGGATGGAAGTTGAGGTTAGTTAAGGGAAAGAGAGTAACTTTTATTTGTTAAAATACTACACGTTCAATCTGCACCTGTAAAGTTCTTGACCGTTTTCTTTCATTTCTCTCGCTCGCTCAATCTCTCTCTCTCTCTCCCCCTCCCCTCTTAAGGGTTAGTCTCCTATCGCCAACCTGATCAAAAAGAAGAGGGAAAAAAAGCCCCAAATACAAGTATTTCTAGCTGTTTGAAACGGGCCTTTTGTTGTCGGAAAAATATAACTTGTTCAAGGAGGGAATATGAAATGGATGCAGTAATTAGGTGAAAATGGCGGTTTCTCTTAAGAAAAACGAAAATGGTAGTTTCTTTTAAAAAAACAAACTATCATCCTTTGATTTGCAAACTTACCTGCATAGCAAAGAATTTAGATACTGTGAACTCTCCACCAAATGCTGAACACAACAAATGAGTGTGAAAAACGTAATGGCTAAATGTTGACAATAATCTTACAGTTAAAATTATGATAAAAGGGAAATGACAATGCAATTTTTAAGTTTTTTCTGGAGAGTAGGGTAGGAGAAAGAAGAACAAGGAAAGTGCTTTCTAAAGAAGATTTTATTGTTTAAGAAAGAAGAAAAGGATGTGTGCAAATCATTTCAGTTTAACCTAACAGTACATGTCTTGAAGACAAGACAGTATGACCTATTCCTTTTCCTGTTTTATTTCAACGCTTTGGTGGGAATGTCCTGTGAGATTTTGCTTTTATTGTTTTAAACATTGTTTCATTTTTCTTGGTACTTCTGCAAAGAATCTGCCCTTGGGTTGTGGGCATGGAACTAATATGGTCACCTATGGGAAGAAAGTATCAACAAGGCAAGTGTGTACAGTACTTTAAAATACTAAAAGAACAAAACACAAGATTACATAAATTGTTTGCAGTCATCAGTTATTGACTTAGCAAAATTAATATTGCATCAGTTTTAACATGATGCTACTTTTACAGGTCTTTCATGAACTCAAAACGCTTGGGCTAATTATTCATTCTCACCTGCACTGGAATACCTACTTTTTTAAAAATTAGTGATATACAAAGAAGCATTTACATGTATATTTAAGTGGTTGCTGGAATCCTGAAAACTGTAGTTTGAGTTTTAAGTTTTGGTTTAAATTAGTATTGTTTACTTGTGTTAACATAAATAAAAAGTAGTAGAAATTATTTCATTTTAAACTTTCCTTAGAGACACAGGATAAGTAAAAATAGTTGTTATATGTGGATATGGAAGTCACTTGCAAACCATTATATTTTATTTTTCAAGTTCAAACATGTTTCAGAAATGAACCTAATGATAAGTATCTTCTTATTGATGTTATCCAAATTGAAAGCATGTTTACAGTTACAGTTCTTTCCCCCAGACAATTATTATTTACTGTTTTCAGGCTATCCATTTTATCCTGTGTAATTTTTTAATAATAGAACTTTGGGATAGCAGTTCATGTAAGTGGTTATACCACAATTGTTGCTTATTTTGTTTTTCAACATGATTTGGTCCTGTTACAGGTACATTTACATCTGGAATGTTCCTGTCTTTTAATAAAAGAGCGCTTTATCATATCTGGAGGCTCTCTGCAGAGAGTCACTTTCTGACTACTTAGGAACTTGATACTCTCAATAGTACTCCTTCACTGATGAGCAGTTTTAAAAAAAAATCCACAATCTTTAACATTTCTTCCTATCAACTATTTGTGTCTCATTCCAGAAATTATATACTTCCATGCTGTACTGTTTGGATGTGTGTAGATGATTCTGAAAATAAATGTAGTTTGGAGGGTGCATATGTACATTTATGTACAGACACAAATTAAAATCCATTTAATATTCCATTAAAGAATTTCATCAAATATATTTAATCATATTATTGTCTGCCTAAATTATGCATGGAAATTTATACTCAGTACATACTTAAATACTACCAACTAAATTGGATTTCAAGGGAAATGTATTTTAGGAATATTTTCTTTCCTTAAAAAAAATGTTGCCAATCAGAAAATAAAAAGCAAATACTGTTAAAGAGAGTTCAGTGAAAAGCTTCCATCTTCAGAGGCACCATTACCTGTTTCTTCTGGGATGTCCTATACCATTTTACACACAAGGGGTAGCATGTTCTATATTGTTTGTTACCTTTTTAAAAATATATAGTTTACACTTAATAAATGGGCTGTGGCGGATACAGAAAATTTTCATGGACACAAAAATTCAGCAGGCTTTCTTGGTTTTCTGACAAAAATATGGTATTTGTTGAAAATGTCTGATGTGTTAGTTAACCTTAGAGCCAAAGATACTTGGCAAAAAATTTCTGCCTTCCCTAGATTTGGGTTTTGCTGTTGCCAAAAGTACAAAGAAAGGGACCTGAGGAATGCTGAGTAAATTTCTGACATATCCAGACAGTACTTAATGGGAAATACTGTTTTTTCTAGGGGCGTAAACATTTCTAATGTGTAACAAATTTCTTTATAAAAACAGTGTTTGAAAAGACAACTTCCTGCTTGATGCTAAAGAAGATAAGTACTTCTTAGAAATGAGACTTAATATATTTGTGATTAGTTTAAGACAGTTGTGTAAGCTGATTAATAAAATTTTCATTTTGTGGGAGTAGTTTTGAATTATCATCTCTGCAGTTGGGAATAAATAAATATGTCACCTCAACAAATGAATGCATAAATAAGTGGAACAACAAAACCAATGTTGTTCCCTCTCTCTCTCCCTTCCTCTCCCTCTCAAAAATCTATAAATAAAAATTTTTAAAGTAAATATGTCAGGATACTAGTGTTTTATAGCAAGTTTTAAGGTTATAAAGAAAAAACAAAACTGCTATAGAAATGAAACATAGTTTAATTATTTTTAGAATTTTTGCTAATTTCACCAGTTTCTAAAATCTAGCTTTTATTTTTTACAGTCCTCCTAGAAACATTTTGTTTTAACATTCACTTCAATTATTTTGAATATCTTATGATAATTTCTCACTTGTATTTATGACTTTATTTCTATGTGACAGTAATCCTCTCATATTTTCTTCACAAAATACAATGTTTTCCTTGTAATTTAAGTCATAAAAATTTTTTAAGTCATACTCTCCTGAGATTCAAATATTTTAGATTGAAAATAGTTTTTGACCAATGAATTTCTTTTAAATTAACATTATTAGCGCAATGTGAGAATGAATGGGAGTAGATGTTAAAGACATTATTGTTGTTGAAGTCATAATAATGAGTTCAATTATGTGATTTCTAAAAAATAAAAACTAGAAGCCTCCCTTTCTATGGTCCAGATGTAATACTAGTTTTTAAAGTCATGATAAAGAATAACACTAGGCTATACCAGGGACGTAAAACTATGAAAATTACCTAGTATATTACAACTCTTTCACCCTAGGATTGTGAGCTTGTGCTAGAAATTTAATTTTTGTGTTTACTTATTTTTTTATGTATTGATTTTTAGAAAGAAAGAAAGTGGGGGAGGAGAGAGAGAGATTGATTTGTTTCACTTATTTATGTATTCATTGGTTGGTTCCTGTATGTTCCCTCATCAGGGATCAAAACCATAATCTTGGCACATTGGGTTGATGCTCTAACCACCTGGACTACCTGGCCAGGACCTAACTTTTGTTTTTAAAATTATTTTGTAGAGTAATAAAATACATGACATGGGAAAACAAGTTTACTTATCTATCTTGCTTACACAGAAAGTTTAAAACATTTTAGAATAAATTACCATTCCTATTGAGCAATATAGTTGACATTTTTAAATGTTTTGGAATGTCATTTAAATGTTTACAGGAAAAAATTCCTTGCATTATAAGCAAAACCATACTTCTATTTATTATTCTGTATGAGGAGCTACTCATTCTAAAAGTTCTACCGTATCTCTACACATATCTGATTAGAGTGAATACATGTTGCTTAAAAAGAAATAGGTACTTTTCTAAATTTTTCTCACATGTTCTCAATTTTTCCATATCTACAAGGTTCAGTTAACTTAATGTAAAGTATCTTTCTCTCCCACAGTTTCCATTAAAAGTGTAACACCTTCCATTTGCAAATTAATTTGATATCAGTCTTTACGTTTGAATCAGGTAATTGAGTTATTTTCATTGCTATCACTTACTTGAAGGAGAAACTCCAATTTTTG